AATATTATAAACAATTGTATACTCAAAACAATTTAGAAATATTTGTCATAAATTAAACTGTCCCTAAATTCATTCCTGAATTGAAGCTGGATCTATTTCTTTAATTTGGAGAGCATAATGTTGTAACAGTCTGCCCCGGTGACCACTGCCCAATACAGCACAAAGGTTTCAGGGTAAATCAACTCTAAGAACTGCTGTCTCAAATTACTGGAAATTAGTAAAGTAGTAAGCAGTCATTAAAGTTACAAGGAGTAAACAAATTGAATTAATCTACACCATTACCATTAACTCTTGCGCTCCAAAAAATGATTAGTCCATCAGAAATTCAGAAAGAGCAAATGCATTCCACCTTCCACCCGTTTGCCACAAAAAATTAAAGGACTCATTAAAAATAAAAAAAATCCAATCCTTATTGCAGATCATTTATAAACAACTTTCCAATGAAGCTGTTGTAACTTCTATTCTGGATCCTGAGATGAAGTTAACAGATGAGTTTATTGCATGCAAGGAACAATAAAGCCAAAGTCTTGTTTCCCACAAGAAACAACAAAACTGAAGTATTGTTCAAAGTGTCGGTACAAACTTTAAGTTTATATATCCTTTCCTTTCCGCTTCTGACGTCACTCGTTATTATGGTAAAGGGGGGAGGTCACATGTTTAGCCAGTTTACAGCTTTTTGGCCAAATGGTCAGGGATTAAGTCCCCAGGGGGTTCCCTAGCTCTCCTAGCTCGCATCTGGAATCCTTATCAGTTCTCCTTCCTGCCATAAACTCCTGTTGCTTAGAAGTCTAATCTTCAAGCAGAAAAGGACTTAATTTAAAACCCCATCTTTACTTTTACTTCAAAGCAAATGGAAGCACAGTCCTCCTTCATATTTAAAATTAAAATAGTCTCAAGAGTGTATAAAATATATCACGAATCACAAGCTGAAAGTCCCTCAGGGTAGTTTAACTTTTCCCTCAATACAGAAACTTTGTTAAATAAATACAATGAAAAGAACTGACTTGTTTCCTGGTATGTACTGTAATTTCCCTTACTTTTCACCTGACTGCTTCCATCTGTGTCTACCTCCACTTCTACAGGTTTCAGCCCTCTTCTTAAAAAGTTTGCTACCTTTACACCTTAGCTCAATAAGACTCAATGCACTACAGGTGCAACTAATGACCGGATTACCTTGTCTCAATTAACAGAAAAGCCTTATCAACTGCTAAAACAATATTGGAGGATAATTTAAATCTACCAATTAAATTAAGTTTTAATGTCAAAGTGACTAATGTTACAATGATATTGGTATATGAAATATTGCATTTAAGCAGAAGTCTACATTTCAGTAATTGTTGACAGCTATGTTTAACACTGAAACTTTAAGTGCACTAGACTACCCAGAATCTGTTTTACAGTTTCATCAATAATAGCAGAAGGCAAGCAGGAACAAATAGGCAATCAAACAGTGCTTCTATGTTTCTCAAAGTTTATAAATACTGTATATTGAAGGTCTTAGTAGTGAGTGTGAGCTTGAGGATGGCAGTAAAAACACCAACCCATGATATCTTACATGTAAAAGCATGCTCTTGTTGTTAATACAGAGAAAGTGCAAAAATATTGGAAGGAAGACAGTTTTTTTGGATACCAGTATCTAAATGGCACCAACCCCATACTGATCAAACAGTGCAAACAGATCCCACCAAACTTCCCAGTTACCAATGACATGGTCCATGAATTCCTGGAAAAATCCAGCTCCCTTCAGGAAGAATTGGAGGTGAGTACGACTGTCACTTGCTTAAAACATTATACAGTATGAATTAGTGTATTGTTACAAATAGGGAGTTACAAAAATGGTGAAAATCAAGATTTGACAGAGCGGTTTAATTAATAAGTGAAATAATTATTCATAACCCCCAATTTAAGTGATTTCTCTAGAATATAACTGAGCAGCTGGTATAATTAGAGGCACGTGAACTCTTTATTCTCTGTCACAGCTTTGAAAAGACACAAACTACACTACTCACATAAAACATACAATACACAAGTTACTCTATGTACAGTATTTACAAAAAAGGCATTTCAGAGACCTAAGATTCTAGTCACCCATAAAAAAAGGTCACCCTCAGACTGCTACTAAGCATTGAACTCTTAATCCTACTGAGGCCACATAAGAGATAAGTAATAGGTTTATTCCATGCTGAAAAGAGAAGAAAAAAAACACAACGTTTCAGCCGTGGAGCCTACTTCATGTGTGAGAAAGACAGGGCAGTCAGCAAAGGTAATGTAGCAGGAGAACAGAAGCTGGGAGAGAGGAGGAGTGAGAGGCGGGAGCAGGGGACAGAAGGAATGGCCAATGTGAAATGAAACCTACAATGTATAGAGAGAATTTAGAAGAAAATGAGTCTGTCATTGAGAGAAGAGGAAAGGTGTGATCCTAGCTGCAGGATAATTTTAGTTTCTGTAGTCTTTCTGTGGGAGTTAGAAAAACCATCTTTGAGAACACAGACAGAGAGATTAGTGTGATCATGGCCATTAGAGGTGAAATGAGAAACAGTAGGCTTGGAGAAATCTTTAATCTTCACAGCCCTAACACGTTCTCTGGAGCAGTCTCAGAGTTTCGTTTCTGTTTCCCCAATGTAGATGGCTGGGCATTTACTGCAAGAGGGTGGTCAAGGGAGCTGTGAACAAGAAGGTTCACATATGAGTTGATGTGGTGGTCCGAAAAGAGGGCCCCAATAGAGAAACTTTGTCATTAATAGTCCTTGGGATAGAAAGAGGTAAGAGAGATAGGATAAAAGCTGCCTTCAAACTAAATACAAAGCAACCTGCAGTTATATCTCTCTCTCTGCACCCCGGATGCCACAAAATAAATAAATATCCCTATCCATAAAAATGCACCCTAAGATAAGAGAGAAGATAAGATCACTTTATTAGCCATATACAATTTCTTGCATTAGGAATTTGTCTTTTCGCATACCCCAGCTTTCCATGAGACACACAGACAGGGAGAGAAACTTGGGGTATGCAGAGTCAGCCATTTATATAACGCCCCTAAGCTGGAAAGTAGCTTCTAACTGAGGAATCTTTTACCCAGGAAACCCAAGTTCCCTAAAAACACAGGAAAGCACATGCTCTCTAGCAGGGTTCAAATACTTAGCTCCGGTCAGGGTTGGTTTGGATGATCATGAAGTAGGCGCTCTCGTCCGTCGCAATCTTCAAGTCTCAACTCCCCCAGACTCCTCTCTCTTCTCTGCTTCTTGTTTCTTACTTTCCTACCTCCTGCTCGTAATGTAATCATATATTGTGTGTGTCTGTACTGCTATTAATCCACAACTTACCTACTGTAGGTATACTAAGGTAAACTTTACAATTGTTTCTGCTCAAGAGACCCCCCCAGACCTCAGCAAATGTCTTCTCTGCTTTGAAGTTAAAATTGTTTACTCTTCCAAGAGTCACAAACCTTATCTAAAACATAAGAAATGGTTCTCAGTCACCTAAAGCTGTGACTGTATTGACTTCAATTTGTTAGGAGATTAATTTCTTCAAATTTATAGAATGACAGTGTTTTAGTCCTTTACATTAGTACTTATAGAAGAATTAAAAAGCAATGGAATCTAAAAATGAACCCAGAATTTTTTAATTCCAAGTGGTTCTCCGGATTCTCTGTAATTCAAATCAGCTGCAATTCTTACATGTACACAAATGACTTGTGTCTTTACTGTGTAGTTCATGAATTCAAATATTAAAAACAATAAACAAACGCTGGTGCAACTTGTAATTCTCAGCATGTTCCAGATTACTGTCCTGGAGGGATTTTCCTTCATGGATTGTAACTGGTGTTTTTACCAGCAAATATACTGTTAAATGTAATTAAACACCTGATTATGGTTATACTCTGGGAGCAGTATTCTCTAGGAGCAGATCTGGGGAACAAACCTCTGCTTTCAGCATTCCCTTCTTCAGGCAGATAATTCTGAGATGCAATATATTTAAGTGGATTGTTTGTTGTCATTGCTCATCATTGCTAAGAAAGAGACACGTTCAGAAGCCAGTTGTTTCTTCCTGGAGTGTAACATATTGAGAGTAGCAGGTCTCTAAACACAGAAAGAAATTGTCCCTACTTCCAATTGATGAACTTTGAGACTTCTGTGATTGTATAGGATTTCAAGTTGAATTAATCCTCTCCCTCTCTTCCATCACAGAATGTATACATTGTATAGTGTTAATGATTAATATTAAAATGACATTATTGTTATTTGCTTGGTGTTAAATAAATGTATAAGTGAGGCAAGGCTTCAACAGTTGACTTAAGCAGTGCACTGTATTGTTGTATGAGAAGGTCAAAGAATGTAATAACTTTATCCCTAAGAGAAACGAAGCAAAAGCGGTGCTCATTGACAAGGATTATCACTTTCAAGCTGCAGGCAGAGTAAAGTTATTGTGAAGTCAAACACATCACACACAAAAGTGAGTTTGACTGAGCGAAGTATAAGCAAGGTGTATTCAGACAATATATTATGTGTGATCATGTCTCAGTTACCGGGATAAATAGACTGGGTTTGGAGATATACAAAAAGATGCACTTGAATAGCTATGTGATTCAGAAAAGGGGGAGGAATATCGTTTAGCTCTCCTCCAAACTCTATTGGGTAACAGTTCAGGGAATTGTCCAATAGGGAGGAAGAATGGAGGAATCAGTGTGAGTTCTCCCCAATCTCCATGAAAGCCAACAACCTTATTATTTAAGGAGAAACAGCTCTGTAAGGTTAGGTGCTAAGAATTCTTCTGAGACACTGAGACATTTCAGAGAAGCATTTGTATACCAGAGCAGAGTGTGATACAGGTACAGATGTTGCCATCTAGAATGCATGACGTATCAGGTGGTATATTGTAATAAGCATCACAACATGGTGAACAGCAATGCAGCTCTCAGATTATTTATTTAAATAATTATTTTTGAAATAATCTGATGCAGGACTATACTACTAGTAAAAGTGCCAGGTGGAGCAGTGAATCATTAAAGTACCACAGCTGAGGCTGTTAGACAAATCAGCACATTATTAAAAGTTAATATATTGCTTATGTAACAAAAACACACAACACACAGGTTAGACTATTTACAAATTTACAAATAAGGTGAGCCAGTGGCGTAACATCCTAAACACCCAGAAAAACCCCAGACCGATACCAAGTATTTAACTCTGAAATAACCAAAAGAAAGAACTGCCTTCTAAACTAACCCCGGTGTCCTGGCCAAATTTCCAATTGGCCCTTATCAATCATGGCCTCCTAATACTCCCCCTCTATGAATTGGCTACATTACTCTGCTCTCCTCCCCACTGATAGCTGATGTGTGGTGAGCGTTCTGGCGCACTATGGCTGCCGTCGCATCATCCAGGTGGATGCTGCACATTGGTGGTGGTGGAGGGGAGTCCCCATTACCTGTAAAGCGCTTTGAGTGGAGTGTCCAGAAAAGCGCTATATAAGTGTAAGCAATTATTATTATTAAACAGAATACAACCTGCAGATACATTTCTCTCTTTAAACCCATATATCACAAAATGAAGTGGAACCTATCTCTTTATTCTTTAAATGCACCCACATACCAGGAGAGGGATTATTTACACAGGAAATCAAAGTTCCTAACAACAACAGAATAACAAGCACTCTTAATAAGGTACAGATACCTAGCTCCAATTTGTTCTTTCTGAATGATCTGGACAAGGAGCTCTCACCTTCTGTCATTGTCTCCCGTCCTCTCTCTTTTGTTTCTGTTCTTTTCTCTCTTGGTTTCTGTTTGTTCTTCTAAAGCTGTGTTTGTGAAGGCTGATAGGTTTGTGAGTTGAGCTCCTAACCATAAGGTCAGGCACAGTTTAAACCAACCTGCATTGAGGAGGTTATAAATAGTAGATATGTTGCTATAGTTACTTAACTGGATACAATTTGATCTTGCTCTGTGAAACTGAAAATACAGACTTTTATCAATATGTTTACTTAACTTATCTGGCCATTTCTTGCAATGTGAAATAGGCCCCCAGAGCTCACAAAATCTTTACAGCCTCAGTAATCTAAACACAACACCCAGTGGGCACACCATTATCTCACATGCGATTGTGAAATAGAAGAAGTAGAAAGAGATAATAACTAGTTTCGAATTCATTTTAGAATTTTTATCTTTTTTAACTGTCAATACTGGTTACCGCGTAATATTATACATCATACACGTGTTATAGCAGTGACTAAACAGTGTTGTGTTGTATACAGTATGACTAAACAGGTTCAGTTTTTTGGTAGCGTTTAGACAATGAAAAAAGCGGGATGTGCTGATTTAGGTTACATTTCATTGAGTTCCATGCAAACCCATGCAGAAAAAATATTTATTTGTAAAGAATTTTTTGGCTCCATTTTTTACACTGGGAGATTTTGATTATCAATTTTGAATCTTGATTAATTCCCACCTGATAGTAGATCTCTTGACATCATGGAATATTTCTTAAGACAAAAGACTATGGGGCATTAGAATAACTGGTTTCTGGATTGATTTACATTACAAAGAGACTTCTAGCAATGTTTTTAGTGGGGTGATGGGAAATGACAGCGACAGTATTAACACTGTCATCTACACTGCCTTCATCTAGATGCATTCTTTTACACAGCTTTTTGCAAGCAATCATCAAAATAAAATTAAAACGTTTCAGTGGTGCATCCCTTAACAGTCTAACTGCAAATTACAATCATTAACAATTTCAGTTGTTTTAGTTTATAGTCACTCCATGAAAGTCATTGTTTTCTGAGAATGTCCATGAAACCAGACACATTAAAAAAACAAGGTCATATCCAGTTTCCATTCATGACATCTAATTCCTTTTCAGAAAAAAACTTTACAGCCACATTTCTTTCAACAGTAACTAGTCTATATATATATATATCATTTTGTTTACATAATTGTTTATATGAAATGTTATGTGTTCAAGGCATATTATTATTAGACAAAAAACACAAATTAAATAAAGCTGCTATTTCAATAACATCTAACTGAATACACAAGATGAACACAATGAGGAGCAGAGGAGTAAAGAATGGAACCAATTAAGTAAAGGCTCTACTAAAGAAGAAGGTTTCGAGTCTGGATTTGAAGGAGTTCAGAGAAGGTGACTCTCTGATATCCTTGAGCAGAGAGTTCCAGAGCTTGGGGGCATTACAGGAGAAGGCCCTGTCACCCATAGAATGTAGACGGGCTTGGGGGACAGTTAGGAGACCAGAATTAGAAGAGCAAATGTTGCGAGGTGGGGAGTAGAGCGATAGTAGTTCAGACAGGTACTGAGGTGCCAAGCCATGCAGAGCCTTGTAGGTGAGCATGAGGATTTTAAACTCGACATGAAACTTGACAGGAAGCTAGTGCAAGGACTCTAGGATAGGAGTAATGCTGCCAAATTTTGGACATACTCGAGTTTTTTCAATGTGGATTTAGATACCCCAGCAAGTAGAGCAATTACAGCAGTCAATTCGGGAGAAGACAAATGTGTTGATCAGATTTTCAGCCACAGTTAGTGATAGCATGGGGTGTAATCTAGCAATGTTTCTGAGGTGAATTAAAGATGTTTTATCAATATGCTGCACATGTGGGTCAAATGTTAAGCCTGAATCAAATATCACCCCAAAGTTTTTCAATTTAGATTGAAGCTCAAGTATAGTACCATCCACATACAGGGTAACAGGATTGGCTTTACAAAGTTGATTGGGGGCGCCAATAAGCATGACGTCATTCTTGTCATAGTTAAGATGAGGGAAATTTTGAGTCAGAGATGCAATTAGATAGAATAGAGACAGCCACATCAGTGTCAGGTTTGGTATGGATGTATATTTGAGTATCATCAGCATAGATATTATAGTTGAGGCTGTGTTATCTTAAAAGCTGGCCAAGTGGAAATATGTAAATGCTGAAAAGTAGGGAACCCAGTATCGAGCCCTGAGGAACACCAGACTTAATGAGACCAATTTCAGAACTAAATCTGCTAAGAGAGACAAAGTGACAGTGATCAGTGAGGTAAGACTTGAACCATTTAAGACCAGTGTCAGAAACTCCAAACACAAGATGAGAAAGTAAGATGTCATGTTTAACAGTGTCAAAAGCAGCACTGAGATCAAGAAGGATGAATATAGAAAGAGAACCAGAATCAGTAGCTATTAGAAGATTGTTAGTGACTTTGATCAGAAGTTGATAGAAGCCAGATTGGAGGTATTTAAAAAGGTTATTTACAATGAGGAGGTTATGTAATTGAAATGTGACAGCACATTCTAGAATTTTTGCATGAAAGGGTAAGTTGTAGATGGGGTGAAAATTGTATAGATTTTCCAGAGTCATGTTAGGCTTTTTTGGCACGGGGGTAATAGCAGCAGTTTTGAGAACCGTTGATGCCAGTGCTCAAGGATTCATTTATTTTATTGAACACAACGGGGCAGAGAGAAGAGAAACAGGAGTGAAATAAGGGGGTGGGAATAGGATCTTAAATAGAGGTGGTGGATTTCATGTGTGTAACTAGTTTACTGAGGGATGCAGAGTCATGAAGAGAGAAGCTGGAGAGAAGGGAACCAGAAAAGTTGGATGAGGAGGGAGGAGGTGCGGAAATGATATGTGTAGTGGAGAGAATGTGATGCAGGATGTTGTTGATCTTGGAGCTAAAGAAATCTAAGAATGTGTTGCAAAGTTGCCATGAAGCAGGTAGTGTGGTAGGGCAGTTTGGCTAGAGCAGTCTGTTGATGGTGGAGAAAAGATGCCTGGGGTTGTTATGGTTATTTTCAATGATGTTAGAGAAGTAGGTGGATCTAGCAGACTCTATCGTATCCTTATATTCAGACATGTAATCTTTTCAAGCCTGATCATGTACATTTAGACCAGAAGGACCCCACCTACGCTCAAGTTTGTGGGAGACTGCCTTCATAGATCGCAGTGCTCCGGGGTACAGAGTGAGAAAAAAAAATGGTGCAAGTTTTTAGAGACACAAAAGTGTCAAGGGTAGATAAAAGAGAACTATTAAGCAAATGTCCTCTAGAGGGTAAGAGGTAGAGAAACAAGATAAGGATAGAACAGAATTTGAGAACCTTGGCTGATCAATTGATCGCCAGTTGCGGAAATTTACAGAGAGTGAGGGGGAAGTGTTTAAAACAGGTAATTCAAGATTGAAAAGAATAGCTAAGTGGTCAGAGAGGCCTAGATATTGTACTTTGTATTTAAATTAAACTGCGCATATGATATATAGGAGGTGGAGACTTTAGAGAAGTCATACTCACAACATTCACAACATTAGGTAAAACATGAAAAGACCACGGAAAGGGATTCCTAAGGCCAGAATTCAGCCCAGGTGCCTGGAGCGCGATCATGAAATAATAATAATCAGTCCGTGAAGACATTAACAAATACATCAAAAAACCTTTCTTTTTTCTTTTTGAAGTCAACCAAATAAGTCTTCCATTTCTAGCATTAATAAATTTGTCAAGTATTGTAGCATCTCGTTTAAGTTTGTAAAGGCATAAAGCAAAATTAGCTCACTTATTTAATTTTGTTTCCACAGAAAGGAAGTATCTATCTGGTGGACTATGAACTGCTTGATGGCATTGAAACCAATATTATCGATAACAAAAAACAATACCTTCCTGCTCCTCTCTGCCTTTTGTATTTGGATAATGAAGAAAACCTGATGCCCATTGCCATTCAGGTGTCAGATTCATGATATTACTAACTTATCTAAAATACCTAATATATATTTTAAACATTGTTCAATGATACAAAAAGTATTGTAAGTGCAATAAGAATAAGTTGTCTGAAGTTGACTAACCTGTTTTTAAAATCCAATTGAGCAATCTTAATTTAGTTACATGTAGGCTTTACAATACTACATGTTTCATTAATTATAATACCTATGAAGGTTTATCAATAATCCCCCTTATGATTAATGAAAGTTTTGATATAGAGATGTCTACATTTTTGCAATTTTGTTACTTTGGCATCTGTCACGGACGTCCAAAGGGACTAACCTCGTGCTGCAGAGGGCGTGACAGCATCATAACATAGTGAGGGGTTATCTTGACTGTGTATGTCCAACATTTTCTAAACCCATTGACAGAAGGTGTACAAAAGATAGTGGGTCTTACCGAGTCCTTATTAATGCATTTTGTTTCCTCGTTATAGCTTGAGCAGAAGGCAGGACCAGAAAACCCCATATTCCTGCCCAGCGACTCTGTCTGCTGGCTCTTGGCGAAGACTTATGTGCGCAGTGCTGACTTTAACTATTTCGAGTTGGTTACTCACTTACTGCGAACCCACCTGTTGGCAGAGGTATTCTGTGTTGCCACACTCAGGCAGCTACCCTCAGTGCACCCTGTGTTCAAGGTACTGTTCCTGTGTATCTGTCAGCTGAGATATCCAGCATAATCATCGTGTATTTAGTTTTTGTGTTATTTACTTCCTGCTACATACCAGTCATCTAGGAAAGTTTCCAAATGATTATACTAGATTTGATTGGCAGTTCAGTTTCATTCAGGCTCCCACAATTCTTTCTGCTCTTGGGCAGGTGTCTGCTCCTCGACACCCTACTGTTGGTAAAACACCATTTATGTATGCAAGTCCACAGCTGTGGCTAGTCTAATAAAACAAAAGTTTGGTATGAAAGTGTCACAAAAGTGATTAGTTATCATATATCAGGGTTATAGTTTCAGTTATTTATGTGCTTTGTGCACTGACCTTCGAAGTGTACACTTTCATTAATAGTGAAAGATGTGTCTGCATTCTACTGGTGAGACACTGTCACCATCATACTGTAATTATCTCAATTATCACAGAATTTTGAATCAAATAAGATGGGTCAAATCAAAATGGGTCACTTGGAATGAACATTCAAGCATAATAATTAATGTATTATACAGTATGTAGTGTAGTACTATAGTGTAGTGTAGCATGTAGTACTTCCTTGAGGATTGTCCCCAGCTATGCATTAAAGGTTTTGCTCAGCTGGACAAAAATCATGCATAAAAACATACCCTGATGTACATCTTCAGATTCTGGTTTCTTTATGTTTCTTTATAAATGGAACAATTCTATGGAATGAGAGAATATTAACGATGAAGTAATTCATGACATCATCTCATTATTTCCTGAATTAGCGCCACAGACCAGAAACTGCCCGGCTACAGACAAAATTTCTGTGTAGGAGTTCTTTAGTCTCTAGTACACCAGTAAGATTTGTTTGGCAAAACAGTGCAATAATAGTTTTCTAGCAGGCTGTACTGTGCTGTGCCAGCCCAAAAAGATACAGCATGTCCTAAGACACCAAATGACTTCCCATTCATGTTTCAGGGGGGTGAAGTTATGTTCTGTAACAGGAACAAAAGGTCCCTTATAGTAGCTCGCTAAAATTTTGGATGTGGTCCCAGCTGATATAGATGCTTTTTAAAATACTTCCAATATCAGAGTGTGATTCATAATATTCCGGAGCAAAGAAAGCAAATATTAAAACAGTATTAGACACCTGTGTTATTCTCCAACAACAATAACTAGAATTACCCTTAACTAATCCTAATTGGGCAAATGGTTTTCAAACAGCAGTAAGTGTAATGGTCTGCATATTGACAATGAAAAAAGAAATAGTGGTGAGGTGGCCATAGGAGTTTGCAGAAAATCCCAGTTGTGAAATTTTTTATTCCCAGATGAAGTCAAGGCCCAGACTGAATCTTTCTTCTGAGTGTGACTTTAATGAGAAGCCTAATCTCTCAGAGAGACTTTCTTTCCCATTTTCCCTCTGAGTGTTCCAGCTGAATTTGTTGCTCTTCCAATTAGTAGGAGGCCATCTTGGTTTCAAGCCTACCTGGGTTTCAAGTAAAGATGAAGGCTTCCCCAAGGAGATACCTTCCGCTACAACTCAATATTGTATCTCAAATCGGTTATTGCTGTTGTTTTCTTTTCTAAAAAGACTATGTATTACTAATAAGTTATATTTTCTTTTTAAACTGAAGGTCCTGATTCCTCACATGCGATATACCCTTCACATCAATATTTTGGCAAGAAATACACTGGTTTCCAAAGGTGGTGTTTTGGATGAGGTCAGTCTATTGCCATATAACCTTTGAAACTGCACTCCATTTCTTTTAATTTTTAACTGTAGTAATCAAAACATTTAACTATAAATTTCAGAGCTCTAACCTATGAAAAAATGGTTTAAATGGTTGAAAAATCAAACCACAAATCAAAGCCAATCCATATCAAAATTATTTTAATTCAAACTGAAATGTTTAAGCAATAAGCAATTAAGGTATAAATATTCTGTAAAGTCTAAAACTGTTAAACATTTTGTATCTGCTTTTTAAAATTATTTTGTATTTCATGTTACCTCTTGAGTAATAAGAATTTTTGAATAGATTAGAATATTTTTACATTTTATTTTAATCTAATCCATTTAATCGCAAACATTTCAATCACAATATTTAATTCCCTTAAATTCCACAATATTTATTGGTTTCTTATTTTTTCGCACACCAGTTTTGAAGACCATTTTTTTTCAATCCATATTATGAGTTGCCTATTGAGGAAATCATTGATGCATGAAGAACTACCAAAAGCTCTTTTTTGCTGTAGAGTCAGCTATAAGGCTTTTGGAGCAGTTAGCAATCATTCTTATTTTCTTTGTGATACCATTTACACTGAGGTGAAATGGAAAATGAATATACATATTATTTATTTTATCATAAGAAAGAGTACATTTGTTAAAAATACATGTGCCTTGACCAGAAAGCAAACCCAGGACTTTCCAGGTATCAGACAAGTACTCTTCCATTGAGCTGTTGTGTCATACAAATGACAAAGTCCAGGTACAGTATCTGTAAGGCAGAAGTTTCTTTATTTCATTTGCATATGGAAGTCCGGCTTGCAACCACCAGACTTAAAAAGAAGTATCTAACAATGGTCCTTTATACCTTAAAAGAAAAGAGTTTCTATGACACATAGTACAACACAAGCCAATTAATTATATCTATGTTGCAGCCTTGACAACAGTTAGTTATTTCATGTTCTGGGCATACAGCCAGCTTACCAAATACATGCCCCTTATCTTACTGACCAAATACAGGCAGCATCTTTATATGTTTGGACGCAAACATCACTTTACAGGTGTCTCCCTTATCTCTTCAGAGCCAATGGGTGACTCTGTTTTGACAAGGTAAATTACAACTACAAGTGTTTAATTTTACCTTACAACAATAACTAAGGAAAAATGTATATTCATATATGAAGTATATCTATATTTCTATTCATAAATTGATAATTGACATTCAGAAACTTATTTATTGTTTTCAGTTACCAACATTTCCTTTTAGTTACATAATAATAATAATAATAATAATAATAATAATAATAATAATAATAATTGCTTACACTTATAAAGCGCTTTTCTGGACACTCCACTCAAAGTGCTTTACAGGTAATGGGGACTTCCCTCCACCACCACCAATGTGCAGCATCCACCTGATTCTATACATGATTCTATATTCTTTATAAAAAGTGGATTTAAAAATGTTTTAAAGATTAAATAAAGCTACCATCATTAATATCTACTACACCACAAGTGTCACCTATCGATCCTCTTTAGCCAGTGAAGATTCTTTGGGAAGTGTGATATAATAATGGCACAGCGCAATCACCTTACCTAAGTGACTATATCAGTATATCTTAGCAAGGGTTTGATTCTGTGATGATATTTTTTACTAACAACTATTTTCCCATTATTAAAATATTTAGTACAGCATGTGTGAAATATCAGCATACTTGGTAGAAAATATCCTTTGCTGTTTTACACATTTTTCATACTTTATTTTTGCTGTAATTCAATTCAATTTATTTTTATATAGCGCCTTTCACAACAAAGTTGCCCCAAGGTGCTTAACAATACAATTAACAATACATGTTGTGAATATAGAACAGAAGACCGGAAGACAATGGAGGAAAGGAACCAAAAACTCCTTAGTAAGGAGATAAGAAACCTCTAGGGGTCCAAGGTCAACTGTCTGCCCAACCCCTTTGGGCATGCTAACATTATATAATTTAAAAAAGGAAATGATGAGCATATTAATCCATCTATCCATCATGTCTTCTGTGTTTTAGTACTCCATACTACTACATACTACTGTAGACCAGTATATTCCTCCTTAACGATAGCTAGATCCATTATGTCCATCTTGGGAAAATATAGACATAGATAGATAGACAGGTGACTGACCTCTGAGAGCCTTGTAAGTATAGTAAGTAAAAGGATTTTGAAATCTGCCCTGTACCTGACAGGAAGCCAATAAAGAGAGCTAAGTATGGGGGTTATATGGTTGTACTTTCTGCTCCTAGTAACGACTCTAGCTGCTGCATTCTGAATTCACTGTAAGGTGTTGAAAGAGTGGTGGCTGCTCCCTGATAGTAGGGCATTGCAGTAGTCTAACCTACTGTATACAAGAGCATGTATTAATTTCTCTGTGTCTTGAGTGGAAAGAAAATACTGTAGTTTTGCAATATTTCTTAACTGTAGGAAGCATGCCTTCGATACCGCATTAACATGAGACTTAAATGAGAGCTTTGTGTCTAATATGACGCCTAGGTTTTGTGCTGAGTCTTTGAGGCAAATTTGTAAATCCTCTGAGTTAAGTGCTGGTTATAGTAGTCCAATCAGTATTGTTGCCTCCAAACAACAGAACCTTAGTTTTATCAGAGTTAATTATCAAAAAGTTTTCACACATCCAAGTCTTTACTTCATTAATGCAATTTACTAAAATGATAATAGAGTTAATAAGAGTTGTCATTTGGTGTAAATGAAATTTATATTTGTGTGTCATCAGCATATGAATGAAAGTTAATATTATGTTTTCGTATTATCCTACCTAGCGGCAGCATGTAGAGAGAGAACAGTATTGGTCCCAGCACTGATCTAATCGAAATAAGTTTATTGTGAGAAATGCAGCTCAATAATTTTTATGTAACAGTGGTACGGTCCGAGGGGGCAGGGCTATACTGTACCTATTTAGGAAGTGTCTTCGCTAGGCCAAAAGGAACTTGATAGGACCTAAGTATGGTGTGACTCCTGGTTTGTAATTCTCAGAGGAAGGGTTTATGATTTTTTGTGTATATTTGTTCCGTTTTGTTATTTTTGCCATTATATATAATTGTTTTTTGGTTTGTGGGGAGCACTGTCCTAATAAATCACCACTTTTGCACCTAAGTTCTATTGTGGCTGAGCCGTCATTCTGTTTTAAAAGAACTCACTTGGGCAGCCCTCCAGACCTCCCTGTGACAATCTGGATCAAAACTCCTCTCAATTGTGTCTGTTCTATATCCCTTAGCTTCCTCAACAATTCCGTAAAGACAGTTTCCTGAGACTAGGAATCATTCTTATTTGTCTTCTTTGAACTCTTCCTAAGCTATATCCTTAAAAATATCCTTTCTATGTTTGGTATAGTGACCAAAACTGAACATAGTTTTCTACATGGGATTTTACTTCTGCATTGTACTACAGTATCTTGCCTGGATCATAATTCCTCACTTTTAAGTATATATCCAAGTATTTGCTTTACTGTTTTTCATTGCTTCCCCACAAATCTTAATGATAATAAAGACATAGAAGAATCCTTGCAACTTGTACTGTATAGTGTTTTTTTCCACTACTAGTGTAGATCACTTTTGTACTTATTAAAGTTGGATTTCCCTTACCATTTTTTGTAACTCCCTTCTGTATTTGCCACTATCCCCTACCTTATTTTAGTATCATTAGCAAATTTGATTAGTTTGCTTACTGATCTAGAATCTAGATTATTGATATAGATCAGAAGGAGCAATGGGTCCAACACTCATTAATGTGGTTCACCGTGGCTCACATCCAAACTAAAAATAACACAGTTTTTCTATTATAAACCTGTTCTGAATCCATGTGCATACATTACCTTGAATTCCCATGTCCTTTTATTAGAGAATCAACATTTTATGAGGAGTCTTATCAAAAACTTTCTGGAAATCTAATTACAGATGCAGCAGAAAGTGTGGTATTTATTCCAAATGTTACCCGTAATGCAACGAGTCATTATATAATTAACTGGCCAAAAACAATCTATCGGTGGCACTTGTGGTGCGTTGGATGTTAGCTAAACGATTGCATCATTTAATCTGTTTCGCTACTGTGCATGTTTAAATCCGCTTAATATGTAATATAAATTCACATTTGTCCACATTACCTGTCAAGTGCTTTGAATGGAGTGTCCAGAAAAGTGCTATATACAGTAAATTTAAGGAATTATTATAATTATTATTAAACCCATCTTTATTTGGTAAATTATTTTATATGAAACCATATGCATATTTTTGTTTCATTTCATTTATATTTTCATTGTCCGTTACAAATATAAGGAGAGCAAAATGTACATACTGTACTGTAGGTAAAACAAATATCCACGAGTCATATTTTTAGCTGCCAAAATTTCTTTAGTTATATGATTCCATATCAATATTCCCTATCAAGTAGAATTATATCAGTATTACAACTTTTTTAGAACAATAACAACAGCAAGTACAGTGTTCTTATCACATATTCTTAGAAAAGATTAAAACATGTACAGATGCAGCCATTCAAACCATGGTGTATTTCCAAGAAATAAACAAAAAAATCATTTATTCATTTATCATATTGGCTGGCTAATGTCCTCTCTTTGCTAGTTACTTGTGGCTGTGTTTCTGTGTTGCGTAGCAACGAGGGACTATATTCTCAGGCAGAAGAACGTAAACAGCTTAATTTTCATGTTAAATATTTTTTTTAATTAAAAATTCATTCTATACAGCAATCGCATATTTGGGGACCGTTTCATAAAAATTTCCCTTTAGTGGTAAAATTTCATATAAATATTCAATACCAAGCGGATTAAAATGTACACAGTAAAGAGATTAAATGATTAAATCTTTTCACTACCAACCAATGCACCACGAGTGCCCCTGTCTGTCATTTTGGCCAGCCAATCACGTGCTGCGGTACAGCACGGTGGCACATGCGTAGTAGCCTGCAGTACGGGTTTGTGCCGTGCATTTTGAATGGCTGCATCTGTATATAAACATGATATAGTTTGAACAAGCACATCAAAACTTCCAACATAACCACCTAAGTTACTAGAACAAAATTGTTTTCTGAAGATTTCCAGATATGTGACAAAAATAACACTATACTATATTCAGTCAGTTCAAGGTTGTCTTCAGATATTTCACAAATAGGAAAACATCTATATAATTTTATATACAGTAGATTTCAATCTATCAATCAGTCCCTTGACTTCAATCTATTTACAAAATTATTTATACAATTACTGTACTAGGTCAGCAGCTGTGGAGGAAAGGGGATCTCTGAAGTGATACAGAGAGGTTTGACTTCCCTGACTTACAGCGCCCTCTGTCTGCCGGACGACATCGCCGCTCGTGGGGTAGGAGGAATACCCAACTACCACTACCGCGATGACGGCCTTAAACTGTGGGCTGCGATCAACAGGTGGGGCTGTCAGGCGTCTTCATAGCAGGGATGCAGACAACCACAGTTTTCATTAAATTGGATTTGGAGAAAAACAGTGATCATGTTCAAACTGCCTGTCGTTACTCAGGAGCTGAAACAGCAGCAAGAGATGAACATGAGTGAAGACACAAAACCCATTAATACAGTGTTCATGCAGTGTTCACAACAAGAAAACCCACAAACAATACACATTCATATAAACAAAAGGATAATTTGATAAAATCTCACAAAGAGTTATTTTAAATTAGATTTCAAGGACCAAAAGAGTTTTTAAATTTGTGAAGTTACAATGGTTGTATCTCATTAACTGTAACACTTCACTGCACATTCTTTTCTGCAGTTTTCTGCACATCCTTTTCTGTTTTTACAGATTTCTGCAGTTTTCAGTGAATTGCTTAACTGCTGTGCTTCCTTGTCAGGTTTGTGGAAGGCATACTGAAACATTACTACCCAGCAGACAAAGATGTCCTGGAAGACACAGAGCTGCAGGCCTGGATAGAGGATATCTTCACCAATGGGTTCTTGGGAAGGGAACAGTCAGGTAGGCCAACATTAACAACACAATATGTTGTTTAAATGTTTTTCTTGGGGTTCAAAAACATAAGAGAAAATGATTAATTACATTTAATGAAAAAAATGACATTGTATGCATGGCTTTGTATTTTTATCATAATTGATATTTCTAGTGCTAAACTATCATCTAGAGCTTTTATTGACCATGTAAAATTTGGTCTCCTAACCTGTAGCTCAAGTGCAATCTTTTCAGGTGTCCCTGTAGACACTAACCTAGCTACACTTAATTAGGTAATCAGCATAGAAATGTGATTAAATAAAAATAGCTGAAAATAACAATAACTATATTGTGTGTTAACAAATTTGATTCAATTCACTCAAAGTTTTGCTATTTTCTGGGGGAAATTTGTTTTAGACCAGAAGTTCTCAAACTTCAACTACCACACCTGATCAAACCAAATCATCGAAGTACCACCTACAAGTCATCTTCTCATTGGAACCACAGAAAATCTCAATGACCAATATGAGCATGTGAGCACACACACTCACACACACATGTAATAAAAATAGCACTGAGCACATACCATTTCCGTGAGAGGGGTGAGCCTATTTAGTCGAGCAAAGCCTTGCAATGCCAGGGATGAGGGCAGTGAGCTTCAAATGCAGATCTGGCTCAGCATCCATTTTGTTGTGTTACTTTGTCTTGATTGCAGTGAGAACAGAGAAGCCTTTCTCACAAAGGTAGGAAGTAGCAAAAGGCATCAAAAACTGCACAGCCTTTGGACCCAGAAATCCAACAGTGACTGTCGTTTCAATTCTGACATCAAAGTTGCATCAGATGATAACTCGAGCAACTTCTCTTGTTCAGCACAGGTCAGATCCTTGGGTATTCCTACGACATCAGCAGTAAAGGGGTACCTGATCCACTCTGGTGTGGCCTCAACTGGAAAATACTCTGAGATATGTTCTTCCAGTGACAAGAGGTGCACTGCAATCTCTTCACGAACAGCAGCATCAAATACCACACTATATGTGTGCAGATAGTTCTCCAAAGTTGGGAAAGAGACATCACTTGCATTGATTTTATTAACAAAAAGTTGCAGCTTTTTCTTCGTCAAACATTGTTAAAGAGAGCCCCCGCAGTCCCATATTCAGCTCATTCAAACGTGAGGAAATATCAGGCAGGTAGGCCAATTTTACTAGCCACACTGGAACATCAAATAGACTTGCCAAGGGAGATTGCTGGTCAAGCAAAATCATCTGTACCTCAGAGTGCAGCTCAAAGAGCCTCATGAGCACTTTGTCCCTTGATAACCATCTCACTTCAGTATGTAGCAAGAGCTGCACGTTCGCTGCCCATTTCATTACAAAGCACACTGAACAGGCATGAATTCATTGGTCAAGCCTTGATACAATTCAAAACTTTGACAGCAGAGTCTAACACAGATTTTAAATCCTTAGGTATTTTCTTGACGGCCAAGGCCTCGCGGTGGATGCTGCAGTGCATCCACTTCATATCTGGAGCAACCTCTCTAATTCGTGCGACTACACCACTGTGTCTGCCTGTCATCACTCTAGCACCATCTGTACAAAATCCGACACATTTTTTCCAGTTGATGCTTTTTTCTTCGATAAATTCATTCAGAAGCTGAAATATGTACTCTCATGTAGTTCTTCTTGGTTATGGTTTACAGAGCAGAAAGTCCTCATGGCCAAATCAACAACATCTACAGACTCATCTAGTTGCAGTGAAAAGCATCTACTCATCTTAACGTGCTCTATCAGCGTACTTTTGATATCATTCGCCATATCAATAATTCTAGGAGTGACTGTGTCAGGAGTCAGGAGTCCTTCTCAGAAGTTAAAAGAAGTTTTTATTTCATGTGCATGGGAGCGAAACACTGTCCTCAAATATTTTTCTGTTATCTATCAAATTTTCCTGTGCGTACAAGATTGATAGTGTTCTCAAATCACGCACATTCTCCTACCTCCCTATTTGCTAAAGATCCCTTATTTTAATACAATTGGTCACTTAGGTTCAAAGCACACATTCCTATATAATGATTTAGAATTACATAGTGGACCTTGTGTCCACTCAAATATTAGCACTGTATTGTCGTAGCTAAGTATGTAGGGTGCGTATTTGATACATAAACTAATTTTATTAAAATAGAAAATACGAAAACTTGTCCCAATTTTTCACTGCACATAACAAATTTCCAGTGTCATCTGGTGTACCACCTGGGGGCGCTCCACAATTTAAGAACCACGGTTTTAGATTATAGTACAATACAACAGTATACAAAAACGACAAACAGAGAAGATGGTAAAATAGTGTTACAGGAGATAAGAGAGTTACTTTACTTTTCAGAGAGATATTACAGCGGTGATGAATGATAAATGATTTCCAGAGACGTCTCCCAGATGGAAGTAGTATAAATTCAAAAGGAACAAAAAAAGGTTTATTCCATGCTGAAAAGAGAAGAAAAGAAACATAACTGGCTGTAAAGCCTTCTTCAGGTGTGAGAGAGAGGAAAATCGGCAGTTGATAAAGCACTGGAGAACAAGCCAGGAGTGGAGAGGAGGTGGGAGCAGGAGAGAAGCAGAATCAACACTCAGGTGATGTGAAGTCAAGAGAGGTGAAGAGAAGTGTGAAGTCAAAACCTGCAAATGAATAGAGAGAATTATAAGGAAACGAGTTTGTCATTGAAAGAAGGGGAAGGTGTGATTCTAGTTTCAGGAAAATTTTGGTTTCAGGTGCAATAGCAGTTCGGAAACCCCTCTTTCCCTCTGCAAGGGAAAGTGCCTGGTGTGGGCAGTTGCTGAGGGAAGTCAAGGGAACTGTGAACAAGAAGGTTATGCAGAATAGGTCGTCAGCAATATGAGATGAGGGGGTGGTCAGAAAAAATAGTACCGATAAAGGAATCATCCTGTAAGATGGGAAAGTTGTCGTTAATGGGGTCCTGGGGATAGAAGGCTGTTAGGGTGGTAAGGAAGCAACAAAGGAATGTGGCTATGAGGCTGGGAGTTCCTAGCTGAGTTCATAATCCAAGAGCTATTATGGCTAGGGAGAGAGCCCTGTAAATAACATGGGTGGGGTAGGTGGGGTAACCTCGCTGATGAAAAAAGAGTGCATTTTAAAGGCTTGGTTTTGGAAGTCCATGTTGTCACTGCAAAGTCATCAGAGCCTGAGGAACTTGAAAAAGGGAGATAATTTTTAGTATGTGTGGGGTGAAATGAGCTGTACAAGAGAAAGGTCTGTGAATCTGTGGGTTTGTAATAGACAGACGTAGAGAGTCCTGGAAGGTTAATGGATAGTTTTATGTCCAGAAATGGAAGCATAATGGAAGATATGTTAACTGTATATTTGAGGGATGGGTGGAAGTTGGTGAAGTGATGCAGAAAGCACCCAAGCTGATCATTAGAGCATGTGGAGGCACCTACGCAGTCATCAATGTATCGCCTGTAGAGGTGACAAAGCCAGTGTAGGAAGTGAAAAAGCATTCTTCTACCCAGCTGACAAAAATATTAGCGTAGCTGGGTCCCATCCTGGTGCCCATTGCAACTCCACTTGTCACGAACCGCATTCCTATGTGCACTTCTCACCGCCAAAACCCACACACTAATGAATCAATTGTCATCCCTCATGCTCTTCCCTATTTATATCCTCTCACTCCACTCAGTCCCCGCTCACTATCGAGAACAACCCTTGGCTTTCTCTTGTGAGCATAATCTTCTCTCGACCTGATTTCTGGCTACCCAACCTTGTTTTCTTCCTGCTTCGACTTCGTCTCGCCTCTCATTTTGGATTTTGATACTCTCGACCTGACTTTTGTGAAACCCAACCTAGCTCTTCTACCTCGACTACAATTTTTGTCTTTTGCCCTTGGGATGTGGACACCAACCACAATTGGTAATTACCAATTTGACAGAGGTGTTAACGTGCATTAATATTCCTCTGGAAACTGATCATCCCAAGATGCATTTCTCAACAAACACAGAGCAATTCCTACAGCAACTCAACTGAAAGATGTGTGTTGACTGCAGATGCTTGGTCTACACAATAACAATTCTAATGAAAATATCAAAACATCTAATCTTGTAACACAGTTGCTGATGAATCTATAGATGTAAAATTTGTTATTCAAATACCAATGAACTGACTGATATGATATGGCCAGCAGCCATATCACACTGCAACTCACAACTGGCAACCCACTGAAGCTAAGCAGGTGTGAGTACCTGGTCAATACTTGGATGGGAGACCTCCTGGGAAAAACTAAGGTTGCTGCTGGAAGAGGTGTTAGTGGGGCCAGCAGAAGTGCTCACCAGTATGTGAGTGAGTATACGTAATGCCCCAGTATGGTGATAGGGATACAATACTGTAAACAGGTGCTGTCCTTTGGATTAGGCGTAAAACCGAGGTCCTGACTCTCTGTGGTCATTAAAATGACCAGGGTGTTTCTCAAAAAGAGTAGGGGTGTAACCCTGACATCCTGGCCAAATTTCCCATTGGCCCTTACCAATCATGGCCTCCTAATAATCCCCACCTATGAATTGGCTTCATTACTCTGCTCTCCTCCCCACTGATAGCTGATGTGTGGGGAGCATTCTGGTGCAGTATGGCTGACGTCACATCATCCAGGTGGATGCTGCAAATTGGTGGTGGTGGAGTGGAATGTCCAGAAAATAATATCCAGGATATATTTTTAAATTATGGTTGCAGTTTCTTGAAACTGAAGCTTAACAAAAGTCCTTCCCTGCATTCCTTGCTAAGGAGCCCAAATAAATGATTTGTCTCCTCTGTTGAGGAATCTCCTCTCTTGACTTGAGAATCACCAGGCCTACTTTGCTCATGGCCAAATGGTTTTATGGTTATGTCTGTGCAGCTCTTATCTCTCCTTGAGGGAGAGGTAGACAGTTCCTCTAGCCTTTTGGCGCAACAAGGAATGCCAATGTCCCATTATTCAGGCATGTTCCATATGGGGGAATGCATGCAGACTGACTTGTTAGCAGGAAATGGGCAGGAACAGCCTAATATCAAATAGCAATATCAAATTACGATAGATATGTTCCTGATACTCTTTGAACTGTACGTGATACTACTAAAACAATAACAGACTCCTGAATAAGACTCAGTATACTCTTGATTAAGACTAGTAGTCATATATATATCTGTTAGTCTTTTAATATTAATCTGTTAATAGTAATTGAGATAAATAATTGATCAATTGAGATAAAGAAGGACTGCAAAGTAAAAATTTAATAAATATGTCTTTAGAAGACAATTAATCACTCAATCACTCAATTGTATCACTCATTTGTGTGTCCAATGACAGATACCTCTGAGGGTGGGGGGTGAGCAGCACATCTTCAGGTCCTAATTCTCCATATATATACAGTAGAGGTATTAACCAAAAGATAACTTAATATCCACTTTGTGTTCCCATAAAGTAATGTATCAGCACTATTACTGCCATTGTAATGGTATTATACTAGCATTGTGAAGTCAATCAGTGTCATTGTGTGTTACCACATCTCTTACAGGTATTCCAGAAACCTTCCTCACCGTTCATGAACTAACTAACTTTCTCACCGTGGTCATATTCACCTGCTCGGTGCAACACAGCGCAGTCAATAGTGGACAGGTGAGTTAGTTCTAATGACTGGAAACAGCCAGTTTCTGTTTAAATCTCTTTTCTATCTAATGTAGTCCTGCCTTCCTGGTCATCTTGACCCCTTGCTTCTGCTGAGCACTGTAAAGATGGAAAAAACACAACATATAAATGCAATCCTGTTAGAATGTTATTCTATTTTTACAAATGTTCTAAAGATTTTGATTACCATAACTCAACAACAAAAGTTGAAACACCAACATTCACATACTTATAGTGTTCAGTAAGTACTAATGTTTTCTTTCTTGAATATATAAAATACTATTGATTTGGATAGATTTTATTAATTTATAGGTATTAAAAATAATTATAAAAAGGTTTATATTGCTTGTGTAGCTCATCTTCAGTAGATAGCTGTGTAATGAAATTAATAAGACAGTGTTTAGTATTTACGTACAGATACAGTCATTCAAAATGTGCTGTAAAAGCCCATACTACAAAATTATCTGCAGATTAGCACGGAATACCCCAGTACGTGACTGGTTGGCAAAAATGACCGACAGGTGGCACAAGTGGTGCATTGGTTGTTAGTGAAATGATTGCTTCATTTATTCCCTTTACTGTGCTTGTTTAAATCCAAGTAATGTTGAATATTAATATGGAATTTTACAACTAAATGTAAATTTTGGTAGCTGAGAATAAAAAGAAGAGGAGCATAACGTGTCTGAAGGTCATAAATGACATTAATTTAGGAATATTAACATATTATGCAAGATGTTTAAGGCTTTTATTGGTAGTTTAAATAAAAAATACACACCAGTATTCCACTTTCTTCATAAGCATTTTAAGTGTCAAAGTCTTTCATTTTATGTGCTCCTTCTTACTATATTGTTTATATACTTTATAAAACATTATAATGTTTTAACCTTTTGTATGAATCACAGTAAAAAAAATGCATACTTTTTAATAATAATATGGAATCGCATATCTAAAGAAATTAATAACAATATTTAATTATTTAATTATATTCATATTGTTCAAATTATTACGATAGTCCACTTTGTAAACATCTGCATCAATATGACTCATTCGCTCCACGTTCCACCTTCACTGATTACGTGGAAACATTTTCCCTTTTCAGCTATAGCCTAAGGTGCTGAGCAGCTTGTTGGCATAATGTCTTCAGTGCATGACTCGCATTCTGGAAGGTGGGGCTCGAATTCTGCTTAGGGAATTAGTTCTCTTTTAACAAATCTGTGTTTAATGTAGTTAATATTATGTACATTATATTGACATTTTATTTTTATATATCACAACACGTTCAATAAATAAATACCAAAAAAATAAAAATGTAGCGTTCTATGGCATGATGGGCAACTAATTGTTTCAAATTTAGAGAAAATCAAAAATATGAAATAGCGTGCCCCTACCTTAAATTGCATGACTTTAAAATCCATGAAAAAATGGGGTTAGATTGTTATTAATGGGTTTAGATAGTTATTGACACTTTTTAAGTACGATCATTTTAGAATCTTTGTATAAGATTATTTTTTTTTTACTTTTTAATTAAACATTAGAAACATTTTGATTTTGTAAACACAACATGCATATCATACAGATAAAATTCCATTCCTTCTTAACTCTTCCTGAAGTGTAAAACAATCAGCAGGTTGCTGAGGAAACAGGACACCACCTGCTGAGCTCTGTCAAATAGGCAGACCTGAGACGAGGCGTGGAGTTCCTGTTCTTTAGCTTTGTGCTGAACGTGTCCGTATGCCTTTAAAATTTAATAATGGACCATAGCTTTTAACTTATTTAACATAGATTTCTCATCAATCAGTTTTACATTTGTAACCATCGTTAAACAAAGCAGTTGCTTATTGTAGTTCCTAATGACATGGGAAGATATATACATTATAATCATTTTTATTTTTTAAATACATTTTAGAAAACTTTCATCTACACAAATACCATAGATTATTTTCGGTTGTATTTCTGGATGTTCCTGTACTGTATGTCACACTTAGTTCAATGTTTTATATACATCTAAACAAGAAAGTCAGGCGTTAACATAAACTATTACTAATCAATATTAAGCATTAAAATTTGCACTGTGATAAATTGTTGCACTTCTTCTACATCTTGTAAAAACATTAATTTACAAGACTTTGTTCAAATATATGTAAAGACTGACTATCAGAAAATAAGTAAAATACATACTTCTAAAATAAAAAATGAAGATAAAATATCATTTAAAATTAAGACGGTTCACTTTTTTTCTGTCTCTCCCTACTCTCTCACCCATTGTGATTCGGACACAGAATGGTTAAAACTGGGGACAGATCAGGCAAGCACAGGGAAAGTGTAGGGGGGCGTCTTCCCATCTCTATGATTAAAGAAAGTGTTTAAAGAGAAATGGTTTAAGTGACATGCAGAGCTGAAAACATACGGTGCGGTCTTCTCCGCTTCAAAGGTACACTCCTTGTGGAAGGATTTTCACCTTGAACATTTGCCCACCAGGTAACACGCAGAAACAAACTAAATACAAAATGTACTTGCAAGAATAGAGATTACAAATATTTTAAAAAATGTACTTGCTTTATACTGTTATACTGTACAGTATTAAAACTAACACTCTATGACCACTACCCTGTGAGTAACGCTGCCCACTAAACCTCTTTCCCAAAGTTTTCATGGGGGCAAGGTCATGTAGATGATTCAAAGCTAGATACAATTTTATCTTGCCTCGTGAAAGGACAAATTCATTTAGTGAACATATTTACTAAAACTATCCATCTCAGTAATCTCACTGTGCGCCCCAGTGCTCACTCAATGTTCACAATCCCAGTAAAATAAAAACCCCGTTTTCCGCATTATCACCCTGCACCAGGGCGGAAGGAAAAGTGCCGGCAGTCATTTATTTCACTCTCCACCACTCTGCCCAACCCCCCTGGACAGACAAAGTTGATTAAAACTCATTCAAAATGGTGCGGTGTGTTAACACAAACTCCGCTAAACAGAGCCGTTTGTAAGAGCAAAGTGACTTTCTGCTCATTTAAATAAAGCTACAGTACAGACAGATTTTAAATTCTTCAAAGCAAAATTAGGTGTTTGTCAAAATCAGCTACTTTGCAAGCAGTACATGACTTCTCAAAAGGTACCTTTTGTCTCTCGTGCAAACTGAGCAAAGTTTTATTTTTTTTATAATTCCGAAATTTGAATGGTACTCCTCAGAGACTCATTCTAGTATTGTAGCGAATACGGTTCGCGCTGGAAAATCAAAATACCGCCCCTCCCAGCCGGGTCTTGCCTCCTGCTGTTCCAAAGCCATATGGTTTCAAAGTATATGTGAAATATCTTTTCTTACTCCATTTATTAATCCAATGTATTTTTACTCATCTGGCTATGTAAAAAATATAGCCAAAAGGATCACTGCAAAGATTAAATGCCAAACTGAAAAGACAAGACTCAACGTGTCTTCTCTAACTCTTCAGTTTACTGCTCGTCCATGGTCATTCATGATCAATATTGTAATGGTCAGCAGGCACACAGATGGTAGAAGCCGGTTGCAGTGCGGTGACAGTACAGCCCTCTACTCCCTTCTGTATACTAGGGCTGCTGGCTGCTGGTGCTAAAGGAGGTCTTCTGTAGCTCAGCCAGCAAAACCTCTGTTGAGCAGCACAAGAAACCTGGATTCGAGCCTATGTGGTGAAGGATGAGCCGGGACAGGAGCAGCGAAGGCACAAGCTCAAGAACCTGAATTCGTTACAATCTTATTAATAATATATTCCGTATTGCATTTAAATTGGATTGTTTCTACAAATATAAGAGGCGGTACACAACATGTAAAAATAACTATTGTTCCCTCCTTTAACTTAAAGAATTCTGTGAAGAAATCCTAAATCACAAAACCTTCACTCATAATAATTTAACCAGATACACAAATTAAAACCACAACCCAATGTAAGTTACCAAGTTAAAGACTTTAATGCAGAAAATATTTATGCTTAATTAAAATATTTACAGTATGAAGAAGGTGGAAGATTGTGTACTTTTGTTCAACTGAGCAGTCTTGCTCTTATAAAATATACCAACTTTTTAATCAGTTTAATGTGTAACATGCTGTAATACACATTTTAAAATTATTAAAAGTCTGAACAGTATACAACTGAAATTTTGTAATTGGAAAAGATTTTCCCTCAGCATTGACTGGGATTAGAAACTCTGCGTTTTCTGCCTACAGCCGAAATGCTGCACATGAGACGTTAAGCCCAGCTCAGCTAAGCCCATCTCCACCTGGCGGTATTACAAGCCATTTTACCCTATTTTAAAAACAGTACACACTGTACTTAGCAGTTCGTTGCGAATCGACCACTGTGTGTTTAGCGCAGCATACGTTTCAGATATTTGAATGGCTGGGTCTGTATATCCCAGTGTGTTTTACATATAGGAGAGAACACTTATCTACACTGAAGTAGACATGGAAGTTTTCATCAGCAGCAATTCTGCACCACCAGACCAGGTGGTGAAAAGAGAAACTACTTCACTAGTTGAATTAAGGGGAAAATAATTCCAACTTGTTAAGGCTCAGAGTGGAATTTAGCCAGGACACCAGTGTTAATACCCCTACGCTTACAGTCACTGGATCATTAATGAAAAAGGAGTCAGGACCTCAGGATTCATTCAAAACGCATGGCACGTTGTACAGCAAAGTGATCCTTGTCACTATACTGCGGCATTAGTTTGATAATTCTGGTCCAGAAGGCATAGCACCCTACTGGTTCATGAATACCACTTGCCACTGTGTATGACAAAAGTAGTAGAGCTTTGTTAACACATTATTACATTGCATGAAGATCATAACTTGAATTACAGATGCAGCCAATCAGAATGTTCTGGGTGTTTTGTGGCCTGCCACAAAAAACATGCTGCAGTACTTTGAAAGGTACAGCACAACAGCTTTAATTTAAATGATCTGATGCAGGACTGCAGTACTCTGTAAAACTGACAGGTGGCTCAGTGAATCCTTAATGTGCCGTGTCTAAGAAATAGTCAATTATAATAATAATAATAATTGCTTACACTTATATAGCGCTTTTCTGGACACTCCACTCAAAGCGCTTTACAGGTAATGGGGACTCCCCTTCACC